TTCCCTTCCAGAACTGAACTGGAAACCAGTAAAGTGCAGAGAGATGTGATGGAGCAATGGGATATGAACCCTTCCTTTTTCCTTTCATTCCAACAGGCTCTACTGAATACTCAGAACAAGCTGAGAACTTTAGTGCCCAATTTCACCTTCAACCTGGGCTTCTCTGGGAAATTCTACCACACAGGTAAGCTCTTAGCAGCTGCTTCGCATTCCCCTTTGTCTGTCTTGTCTCCAGGGATGGCTCCCCAGAGTATATAGTAGGCTGTGGGAACAGCCTGCGGTTCTCAGTCAGGGCCTGTCTAATTAGGTCCATTTCTTCTAGCACTGATTCTCAACCAAGGTGCCATGGCATCCTGGGGTTCCATGAAATCCTTTCAAGGGTGCTACAGGGTGCCACACAATGTTAGTGCTTAAGTGTGCAAACATGATTTACAAGATAAACAAGATTTCAAACAGGAATCCACAGTGTTAAAAGCTTTCTGACCTGGCCTGGCCTTTCTGAGTTCTTTGCAGCAGGTGATTTACTCTATTATTCTTCTGTAGTCAAAAATGGAGTGAAAACGAAGAGCTGACATTTTCCTACGAGTGCTTTCAGTCTAAGGAGGTTGAGAACCACTGTGTTAGGATCTGCTGACCAAACATGGTGGGGCTGCCTCTAGCAGCATGTTGCAGTGCTAGTAGGTCCCTGGTTACCCTGTTTGTGTTTGTAACTAGCTAGAGATTTCATGGTAAATGTAGCATCTCTCTCCCTTCTGGTTTCCCCATTTTCTCCTCCCTGCAGGTACGAATGAGGAAGATGAAGGGGATGACATGCTGCTCCAACACCGGAAGGAGTTCTGGTGGTTCCCTCATATGTGGAGTCACATGCAGCCCCACCTCTTCCATAATGTCACTGTGCTGGCTGAGCAGATGAAGCTCAACAAGCAGTTTGCGCTGGTAAGGGGGTGAGCCACCACCTTGTCCTCTCAGAACATTGGCCTTGGTTGCAAGATCCCAAAATGTTCCTCCTCTGGGGCATATATTGAGATCCTGCTCAAGTCTGGCACCAGTGTGTGATCCTGGGGCATTTGGGGGCTGAGGTTGGATCCCTGAGCTGGTGCTCTACTCCCACTCCTGGAAACATCATCCATTCGCTTGCTGGCACCCATTCCAGAGCACAGGTCGTGACACACTTGTGTGCTGGGGTTTTCCATTCATTCTGGCTTTACAATCCAGTTCAAATGGCTGTAGACTCTGAATGTGAGGAAACATTTTCTGCTCCATCTCAGTTGGCTCAAATGAGATTTCTAAGGGAGTCAACCTGATCAGCACCATTAGGATGCTTCAGGCAGAAACACATGGAGGCCTTTGACTTTCCAATGCAATGCTAGAGAGAATCTCTTTTCTAAGAAAGACAGGGAATCTCCCCTCTCTCCTTCCCCATTGTCAGGTGAAGGAGGAAGAAATATGCAATGCTGGAGCTATGTCTGCTTGATGTTTCCAGCACAGGTTTAAGAATCGTGTGCAGATTCCTTTGAAAGCAAGCATTTCTTCAGCGTGCACTGGCGCAGTTAGCTGTAATCCCCTCTGGAATAGGAGTCTGTTATTTCATGCCCATGTGACCTCTCAACCCCGCAAAGCTCCAGTGCTCCAGAAATGACACAAACACGATTTTCTCTCTTTTTTCTGCATAACTAGCAGGGCAGTCCTTTGAAAAGAGATTCAAAACAGACAGAGCAATGGGAATGACAGGCCTGTCACTCTATCAAGATGCTCTGGTTTCACTGTCAGCCACCAGGGCAAAGCTGTCATTATTCCCATTATCACCAGAGCCTCTCAGTGGCATTAGAGTCATGAAATGCAGATATTTCCTTCTATTTTAATATTTGGCTCCGAGCCCCAGATCCATACCCTGCGCTGCCTCTCACTTCCTGTCTGCTCTCCCCCCACCTCCCCCAGACAGATCCCAGCTGTTGTCTTCCTTGCTCTTCACATCTGTTAGGGGAAGCTTTGTCTTGCTGCTCTGGTGATTCTGTCCTGGACATTGTGGGATCAGGATTTGCCGCAGCAGCAGCATTGGTGGCTGGGCCATTGTAGTCACTGGGACTGACATCAGGCCTCTAAATCAGTGCAGTTTGTCTGACCCCCATACATAAGATTTGTTTTTAGCAGCTGTCCCAGTTTGCTGCATGCCCTATTTGATGGATAAGCACCCTTTCCTGTCCATGTGCATAGATTTGTTGTGAAGGAGGAACATGTAGCACCCAAAACTTTCCATTTCTGTGAGATCCACTGCCAGTGTTATCCCTGGTTCCTTGCTGCATGTAGGCACTACTGCTAGCATGAGTCTCATCGTGGCCAATAGGAGATTAAATAAATACAAAGTGATAATAATAGAAAAATTGGGCTGGAAGGGTACTCAGGACATCATCTAGTCCAGCCCCCTGATCATGACAGGATCATCCCTGTTTAAACCATTCCAGACAAGTGTTTATTTAATGTGCTTTTAAAAGCTTGCAGTGATGGAGATCACAGCCTCAATAGGCAATCAGTTCCATTGCTGGACCACCCTCAGAGTGAGGGAATTTTTCCTAATATTCGATTTAAATTTTCCGTGTTGGAATTTAAACTTACTTCTCATCCTGTCCCCGGTGGCCACAGAGAATAGTTATATCCATCTTCTTTATCATATACACCCCTCAGGTAATTGAAGACTTATCAAATCTCCTGTCTTCTCTTGACTAGACTAACTCATCCCTTCCTACCTTTGTTCATAAGTCAGGTTTCCCACACTGCTAGTCATTTTTGTTGCTTTCTGTTAGATTAGGAGTGTTAAACATTCAGCTCCTGGGCCAGATCCAGCCCACAGAACTGTATGGTTTGGTCCATGGGTCACTGGACTGACGCTACGCCCCAGCCCCAAGCTCTTCATGCAGTGTACAGGCAGGAACCAGCACTGTGCGCCCTGCACGCAGCACAGGGAGTTGGTGTGGGGCATACACGCATGTGTTGTGCTGCTGGACCAGCCCTGTGCACTGGCTCTGGGACCAGTCCTAACCAGGCTGTGCTGGAATCAACATGCAGGGCTGCTCCAGTGGGATGCCACATGCAGCACACACCCCATACCAGCTCCCTATGCCACCTGCAGCACGCGGCATGCACCAACCCTGGGGTTTGCTGTGCATGTGGCACATGGGGCCAGCCCATGGCATGCAGTGGTGTGCGGGCAATCCAGGGCAGGAGCTGTATGCGGCACCCAGACCAGCCCCTTGTGCTGTCTGTGCCACCGGCAGCATGCGCCTTGTACTGACCCCATGTGCCAAGTGCACAGGGACCCCAGGGCCAGCACATGCAACACTTGGGCTGGACTTGGCACCTCAGGGGCTACACAGGGGTCAGTCCCAGTCTGGCTTGCAGAGTGACCCAGCAACCCTCAGCGAGTCCCTGGGGCCAGATGAGCTTGACGCCCTTGTGCTAGACTCTTCCCAACCTGTGTATGCCTCTCTCACCAGAACTGAGCACCGTGCTTCAGGTGAGGTACCCCCAACGCTGATAATGCTGTTCTGCCCACAGGAGCATGGGATCCCCACAGACCTGGGCTATGCTGTGGCCCCCCATCATTCTGGGGTTTATCCTGTCCACACACAGCTCTACGAGGCCTGGAAATCTATCTGGGGCATCCAGGTGACCAGCACTGAGGAGTATCCGCACCTGCGGCCTGCCCGGTACCGTCGAGGGTTCATCCACAATGGAATCATGGTGAGTGAGTTCCTCCCTGCAAGAGCAAAGGCCCTAAAAGACCCCTAGATTAGGCATGCTGGGAGCAGTCAGCTGAGGGGTGGTTTCTAAGTGACCAGCATGGGGAGCTCATCCCAGTGTTCTGAATTTTGGACCTTCCCAAACCCACAGATCACAACTGAAGGGGAACTTAGGTAAAAACCCAGTTGCTTGTTTCTTAGATCGAGTCAGCACTGAGCAGAGTCTACATGCTGTGAGCTGGTAGAATGAAGGCTCCTGAATGCCTGTGTGCTTCTAAAAATCCACATGAAAGAGCATGCAAAAGCTCTGTCTCTGCAGGAGCAAGAAGCACGTGGTGCTTTTTGGACATAAGGGCTTTTCCTGTGGAGGAATGTCTGCAGCCAGCCCAATTCCAGCATCTGTCCTGAGCTGCCTTTCAGATGGGGCAGGTCAGCACCTGGGGGGTGTAACATGGAGAGCCAAGCACAGCAGGGCTGTACTGCTATCTTGTTAATCCCCCTGCATCATTGTCTAGGGCTGGTCAAGCATGTGGTTAATTGGAATGTCTGAGTCCTCCAAACCGGTGATACTGGGTCCCTTGCTGTCACCCTGTCATTCCACAGGGTACTGCCTTGATGCTCCTCAGGACTCAGTGCACATGCACACTTTGCTTCCTCTCTCATTTTCTCTCTCTGTGGCTCATCTAGGTGCTGCCTCGACAGACCTGTGGTCTTTTCACTCACACCATCTTCTACAATGAATATCCTGGTGGCTCTAAGGAATTGGACAAAAGCATTCGTGGTGGTGAACTCTTTCTGACAGTGCTCTTGAACCCAGTAAGTTCAGCAGTGAGGGACACCAGGACAGAGGATGAGGGAGGAAAAGGGATGAGTTCCCAGCCTGCTGCCTTTGCCCATGGCTTTGCCTGAAAGGGCTGGCACCTACTTGGTGCCCAGAGGGAGCCTGAGGCTAAAAGCCCAGCAAGAAAATTTGGATAGACTGCATAGCCTGAAAGAAAAACCTGGACAGTCCTGGATGCATGGAGATTCTTGGCAAACTGTGTTGCACTGTCATCATCTCTTAGCAGTTTGTATCAAGTAGAAACTCAGCAAGCACAGCCTTCCCCAGGCATGCGGGGCAATATGTAGAGCAGCCAGACACTAGGTAGGTGTTAGCTCTGTGGAAGTCATCACCAGCCTGATCCCTGAGCCAAGGGTAAGGTGTTTTTGGCTCCCTCTATTCTGTGCACATCTGACTGGTCCCCAGGCACGGTGATGATGAGTCCTGCCTCAAGGAATCATCTCCCGAGCATTTGTTGCTACAGAGCTTCCCCTCCCCCCAGCATTTTTACTTTTCATTTTGGACTTGCCTGAAACCATTTTAGATGTTTCTCCTGTGATGCTCTGTCATCCCTGAGGCAATCTGGGCCTGACACAGCTGTTTCTCCTCCCCACAGACCTTGCCCAGCTCCAGCAACCTACTGAGCAGGAGGCTCCCTTAAGCCGTCTTCAGCCTTGCTTCAGTTTCTGCTGTGGACTGAAGGGCTGGGGGCCTTTCCCACTTCCACCCAGCTAACGCTGGAGAACTGAGCTATGTGACAGTGGGCTCAGGCTACCACAGAGGGGTTGGACTGATGCCAGTTGGGGGTGTGGGAGCTCAGCACTGTTGTCAGCCGAGCCCCTCTACTTATTACATTTACTTCTTTTCTGTCCCTTCTCTTTCCTGCTGTGTAGTGCTGCTTTGGTGCTTGAGATGGTGCTAAATACTTAGGGCGCACTCTGGGTGCCTGAACTCAGCACACTATAAGCATGACAGAGGACAGGAACCATGTTGTTGCATGTCAGTCTGTGACCACCCTAGTGGGGAATTTAACTGTTTGTGCAACCCATTGGTCAGTGTGTTGTGCTTTGTTTTGTGTGTCTTATCTGCAGAGGATGTGGGTTTGTTGCAGCCTGTAGCTAAAAAGCTTGGGTCTTTAGTTCCAGCATCAGGGCTTCAAGTTCTCTAGTTCTAGCGGTCCCTGGTTCAATTCCCCAGTAAACCAAGATGGAGGCCATAACCTTTACACAAACTGCAACCAGCAAATCCACCCTGTGCTTTTAGTTGTCACATCTGCTCTTATCAGTAGCTTTCAATTGAAAACAAAGTACAAACTGAACCCAAGAGGAAACTTGTGTTTGCATTATGTACTCACTGGTCAGAGGCATCATTCTGGACAAGTGGAGAGAAACAGCATAGCTCCGTGTTTCACTTGGAGGCTGGGATTTTCAGACCCCCTGGTTCTTTGTGAAGGCAGATTCCTTCCCCTGCCTCCAAAAGCCCCACTTCGCTACAGCCAGGTCTTGAATGCCGTCTGCAGAGACTGCTAGTGAAACTGTCCCATGAGGACTAACCTGACCCCTGCCCAAAGCAAGCTCTTTTAGACTCCGCTTTGCCTTTCTTCTGTGACTTGTGTTTGCACTTTCATTTCCTCTGGCCAGCTGGGTGTTTCTCCAGTGAACAGTGGAAAGCTTGCACACTAAGGCCATCCTTGTTGGTCCTGTTTACAGAGTGTCTCAATCCTCCCAGCCCAGGGCCCTGCACTCCTCTCCAGCTGATAGAGCCATCCACAGTCGATAGAAAGCTGGCCAGCCACCATCCCCTGGCAGTGATCCGTAGCAGGCTTGGGGCACAGGCTCTTTTCAGGGCTCTTTGGTGCTTCCAGCCTGCTGTGAGTGTGGGTACACATGCTGGAGTCTCCGGGTCTGTGTGTGTGATTAACTCTGCAGTGTAAACAGATGATGTTTGAACTTCTGACTAGTGAGCGAGCCCTGATGTCAGCCAGGAGAATAGCTGCTTATGTCTCAGTTTGCAGGCTGCCACGTGCCTCGACTCTGTTTACCAGAAGCAGAGAGGGGGGATGTTTCTAAGTGCTTCTCACAGGCTCTTCTGTTCATGCCACATGCTAGGCAGGTCATTGCCGTGCCCACAGATGCCTGTTTTATGTTCCAAAGACTCTTTACCCTCCCTTATTCTCTGAACATTCAGCTTCTCTACCCTTTCCTCTCAGCTCCCTGTCAGTGTTAAATACAGGAAATCAGGCCATGCTGAGAAAAAAGGAGGTCTACTCTCAGGCTAGTCAGGGGTCAATTAAGGGACAGGGTACAGCAGCAGGATTGCTCAGGACTATGTTGCCAAGACTAGCCATGGCCAGGCAGGTCAGGCCACCAAAGGTAATTTGAAGCTTCCCTTCTATATGCTAGGGAGAGTAATCAAAAGGCCCTGCAATTCCCCTTGCTTGGGGCAAGGGTGTTCCCAGTACTGGTCTGTAGATTTTAATGGAGGTCCTACACATACTCTGTTGCATGCACCCAGGAGGTTCTTAGAGCGAGGGGGTGGTGTGAGAGCCACCCTTCTCCAGCAGGCGCCATGTGCCAGTGGAGGGAAAGGGGGTCCATGTGCCTCACTCTGTGTGCTGGCTCCCCTGGTGGTGGAGGGAAGGGGTTCCTTCTGATGCCCTGACAGGGACTCCTACATCCCACATCCCACTCTTCACACCAGCACCTACCAGATGAGGGCAAAGCCCTACTGTTGTCCTTGGCACAGCTATTGTCCTGTCCCTCTTGCACAAGGCTGCGCTGCACACAGTGTGAAAAACAGCTGCCACCTCCTGTCCCATGTTCAGAGGCAGATGGATATGATGGATCTTCAACTGCACTCCTGCAGTTTTTTCTTCCTGTTTGCTCTTCCTACCCCTCTGCAGTCCCTTGCCATGGCCTCTCTGCCTATCTAGCTGGCCCCAGTGTCAGCATGCCTCACTGCCAGGAGGGAGTTTATGTTTGTAGGTTAGTGCTTTGCAGCTTGAGTAAGCAGAGCCCCAGAGAGGCTAAGGATCCAGTGCACAGAGGGAGGCAGGTGCCAAACTCCTACTCAGTGGAAATCAATGGGGATTGTAGGCTCCTAAGTACCATTTTGGCTCTGGTCCTAAGTGACTTCCCAAGGCCACACCAGAAACCTGGCAGAGCAGAGCTGAACTGAGACATCTCGAGCACCAGTCTAGTGCCTTCACAGTGGAACTGTCCTGCTCTTGGCCTGCTGCACCTCGCATGGAGCTGGTATTTCAGCCAGGACAACCACTGCACAAGCCGGCTGGGGCCTGGCTGATCCCTAGCTGCACTCTGCTGTGGACAGGGGTGTCCAGCTACTGCCAGGAGGGGCCAGGGAGGAAGAGTGCTGGGACAGCTGCCAGAACCTGGTCTCCTATGTTAATCCAGTTGGAATTGATTACAAAAGTCATTATGCTAGAAAAACGCCCAGCTGCAGCTCTTCTTGGAGGTGGGGTGTCCTCCCTTCAAGTGTATTGAAGCATCTCCCTGAGTTGCTTCCCAGCAGCTGGCTCTGCTGACCTAGTTGTCCATCCTCCATGGGGACAGCTGGAGGATTGTCAGCTTCATATTCCCCAGCAGTAGGTGTCCACATGACCATCAAGGCCCAAAGGCCTCTGAGACCCTCTTGCTCCTGCACTCAGTTGCGCCAAAGAGGCGCTAAATGGCTGCCTCCATCCTGTCTCTGGTTGTGCTGCTGATTTTTCACCCTTGAGGTATTTCTGTGCTTGACCGCATGTGGCAGCATGGCAAGACCTGAGCTGTGCAGTTCCCTGGGAACCCTCAGAGCCATACTAGACCCCAGCTGGCAGCACTTGCATCCACATGCTAAAATATTTAGAAGCAAACTGTCAAGGGAAGTGAATCTGCCTGTGAGGGGTGGCATCTGAACAAGGCAGTTATTTACCACGCGCTGCAGTGCTGAGAACAAACAGCTTGTGCCAGCATTCAGGAGCAGAGCGAGCTGTGGGAGGGCTGTACCTGCACCCAGGCCTTGGCCGTGGCGGAAAGTCCAGCAGAGGGTCACACACCTCAAGACTCTGGGCCAGGGGTGGCACAGGCTCTCAGAGAGAGGGAAGGGGAAGACTGTTACCTCAGGTGCATCATTCCTGTTTTAGAGGGTGAGCCATCCCCCAGTTTTACCTACATTTGTGATATTCACTCTAACCTGAATCAAACCTGCCCATAGAGAGAGACCGTGAGAAACTCCTGTCTGCCCTGGGCACTCGGACGCAGGGCTGTCCCTGGCCAGGCAATCTATGCCAGTGAGCTGGACAAAGAAAGCTTTGACTTCCAGGGGGGACTACTCCAGGACTTCTGCTCCTAGTTTCTGATGAGCACACACTTTCAGAGCTTCTGATGACCAGCAGAGATTGCCTGCCTAAACAACTGTAGGCCCTCTGGGAACCAGAGTCAATACTTTATGCTTGAACACAAAGATTGGTGCCTGTGCTTGTCTCTTCCTGGGCAAGCAGAAATGTTTGCAAGAGGCACATGAGAAGGGGAAGCTGTGGAAGGGGTCCTCTAGCACTAACAGCTCCTTGTGAGGGGTTGGCAGGTAACGCGCTCTGCTGTACTGCAGGCTTTCTTCTTGGAATTTCCCAGAATTAGACGCTACTTAGGGATGGGAGAGGAGCTCCTGCCTTCTCTCCTGAGTTTCCATTGCTTTGGGCAGGTTGGGGCGAGGGTGGACCTGTTCTCCCTTTTCACTGGAGGACAGCCATCATCTATGAGACATGGGTTTACCTCAATCCAGATAGCTGTGTTGGCCCTGAGAAGGAAAGAACTTCATGCTTGGC